TACAAGCTCTACTTAGTTTGAAACTATATAGTGTTGTGTGTTAAAAGTCCGAAAATATTATTATTATTATTCTACGTGACAACTCCTTCATTTCATTTCAAAATGGTTTGGTTTAATGCCTGCCTGACGCCAAACCTCCTTGTGAAGTCCTTTTTCTGTAGGGCAGCTATTCACCATTACCAACAGCCTTTACGGAGAGGCCCATCTCTCCTTAGAAAGGAGGTTTTGGCTTACTACGAGTATACCACGCCGGTCAGACGGGTTGTTATACGGTTTGTTTCAAGTTTTCTTTCTCTTCGCAGTGCTGTTGCGTAGTTTGCTCCCTTACTCGAATCTTACGACACCGACGGGATGAATAGGGGTCTTAATACTCCGTATTCTTAATCCTTCACCACACGGAACAAGGGAGCCATTATCACATTAATATGTTTTATCCCTGGCCTATGGTTTAAGAAAGAGAAGAATTTAGATTTTTTTCAAATGTCTGGTACATTTGATAAAAATTAAACTGCTTCTTATTAACAAAGCCACATTCTAATCAGTGGTGAATGTTTGACTTATCTTTTGCATTTATTATTATTTATATACTTCATTATTATTTAATATTATTTTTTTAATATTCTGTATATATATTGTCACTACCCCAATTCATCCCGTGGGTGTCGTAAGAGCCGATTAAGGGAGCAAACTAAGCAGGACAACAGCACTGCAAAGAGAAGGAAAACTTGAAACAAACCCTATACCAACCCGCCTGGCCAGGGTGGTATAGTAGGCCAAAACCTCCTTTCTAAGGAGAGGCCTATGTCCAGCAGTGGACTAGTATAGGCTGTCGATGTGATGTGTGATGTGATGATGTATATGTATATGTATATTTATTTTCGCAGCTCAAGAGCGAACGAGATGGAGGATTACTGTGGAGGCCCTCCATCCCGTCACAGCGACAAAGGACATTAAGCCAAGTAAGTCATATTTATTTGTTTATTTTTTTTTTGTTTTACACACAATTGTCATTTAGGTAATATATGTTAAGTATATATTAATATTGTGGTACTGAATTTGTTTTATGGTATAGAGGAGTAAACGAGTAGTCGGGTCACCCGATGGTAAGTGACAACCAGCACCTATGGACACCTGCAAATCAATAGTCACAAGTTTGTTGGGTGTTCTGTCTGAGTACAAAGTAGACATGGAAATTATTGCTACTTTTAAATCATATTTCTTGATGAAATAATTAGTTTTGTTGTGTTTTAATGATAAATCATCTGTGATAAATCACTACGTAAATTTGGTCATAGACATAGATTTAGACCTTTCGCGTAATAATAATAATTAGTCGCAGTGATGTTGTAGATGAGTCGCAGGTATGAGGAAATGATTTTAAAATCATGTCGTGCGTGATTGCGATTTTATCCCATATGTAGTACAAAGTCTGTAAAATTATACTCAAATAAAGAAAATAATAGATTCGACAGGGTCGAAATTCAACCGCCATGCAACCTTTAATATAAGCTATTCACCGCGTAGTAAAAAGTAATAAAAACGTAAAAATGTTTAGAATGACTGATACACGTTGTAAAAAAATTATAATCATACATTATGTAACGTAAGCAAGCACACATAAGCTATCGTTCAACGAACCTGATTTAGGTTCATCGTTATATAAATCAAAAGTCAACGACCTGCAGTCAATGACACAGTTACCTTTCAAACTAATACCTAGATCGATCGATCAAAATGGATTGATAAGCGATTAGGTTATTGACATACTGTGATAGTCAAAGATAATCATTCTTTTACTATCAATACGCTTATATTGTGGTTGTAAAATAAATAGTGTCAGATATGAAAATATCTGCATCCTTTTATCGGTTGTATTAATCACATGAAACGTAATGGAAAAGTATGTAATGTATCATTGTATAATCATCATCAACAGCCTTTCATAGTCCACTTCTGGACATAAGCCTCTCCTTAGAAAGGAGGTTTTGGCCTACTATACCACGCTGGCCAGACGGGTCGGTATAGGGTTAGTGTCAAGTTTTCCTTCTCTCTGCAATATTGTTGTTCTGCGTAGTTTTTTCCCTTAGTCGGCTCTTACGACACCCACGGGATGAATAGGGGTGGTGACACTCTGTATTCTTAATCCTTCACCTCACGGACCATTGTATACATTCCTAAAATTTATACATATTATAATAAACACTGTTTTAATATCAATAAGAAATGTATTACATTTGAGATGCCAGAGAGAAGACCGAGGATAGAATAGGTTAGGATAAGTAAGTTGTTCCGGATGTCTTAATAAAAGGTGTTCCCGGATTCCTCTAATTTAAGGCGTAAAGTGACCGTGTAGTTTTAGTAGGTCCGATTACGACACACCGCCCCGCCGCCGCTGGCGGTCCGGTGACATCCCTAGGGGATTACAACACGTTAAAATAAAGGTTAAGTCACTTGTTATCTGACTATGTCAAGTAATCCCATAAAATCGTCTATCTAAGAGTCGATTTCTCAATAAAAAAGTTACCTGTAATAAATTGCTTACTCTTATTTGTATGATGTACTAAAGTGGTGTACAATAAAGTTCATTCTATTATATTTATTGATTTGATTTACAGAAAGCATTACTTTGCACTACCGTGTGGTGACGGATTAAGAATACGGGATGTGACCACCCCTATTCATCCTGTGGGTGACGTAAGAGCCGACTAAGGGAGCAAATTACGCAGGACAGCAGCACTGCAAAGAGAAGGAAAACTTGAAACAAACCCTGTACCAACCCGTCTGGCCAGCCTAGCCAGAGAGGCCTATGTCATGTGTATATGCAGTGGACTGTTATAGGCTGTTGATGTGATGTTATGATTACTTTTAATATATTGGCGTGATTAGTGTGATAAGATACTATGGCGGGATTGCATACAATACATTTTCCAGGAAATGTATGTACGCGGTAAACCCAATCTTTGAAAAGTTGTTTTATATATTTCCTAAATAAGCACGAAATTTTCAAGGAAATTCACATTGGAATACATGAAATTCACATAGTTAAACATTACAATTCCTTAATTTCATATAACGTTAACAATGAGAATCGGCCAACATCTATTTTTCAAACCCTAAATGATAAGGGTGACCAAAATTTTTTCTTTTTAATATTTCCTAGAAATAATGTATATGGCAAACGGACGTTTACCGGGTCCGGGTATGATATAATATAGCCAATACCATCTTCAATTTGTACTTTAAAATAATAGCTGGTTTTACCAAAATTTTATTAAGAAAAACAGAAGCTAAGAAAGTAACAAAGATACACAGTTGCTACTTTCGTGTCCGTAATTTAAATTTGTGGTTTATCAGTGTAAAATTAAAGCTACAAATAATAAATCAGGCATCTCTATATTGTTATGGTAAAACAATGTTTGAGTGAATTCAAATGCCACCCTTATTCATTCCGTGGGTGTCGTAAGAGCCGACTAAGGGAGAGAACTAGGCAGAACAACAGCACTGCAGAGAGAAGGAAAACTTGACACAAATCCTATACCAACCCGTCTGGCCAGCGTGGTATAGTTGGCCAAACCTCCTTTCTAAAGAGAGGCTTATGTCCAGCAGTGGACTATTAAAGGCTGTTGATGATGATGATGAAATGCACTAAAAAGGCCTTTCTCAAAAATTTTTTTTACTACAAATTAAAATTGTAAAAAATGCCCGTATGGTATGCTCATAACTATTAAAAGTTTTTATTCAATTTGAATTTTATATTCATAAACTTCACCACCTCAGGCGAGTTTTTAATTAAAACTAGTCAAGCACCCTGAAAATACACACATGATTAAAATGGACCGATATTTAGTTTGATTTGCCAACAATAGAGACCAGAATATTTTATTCGCAAGATCACTGTGTACCAAATTTAAAAAAATCTCTTCAAGTTTTAAATCATCATTTAATCTAATTCACATGAAATAGATCAAATAAATGTACCTACTAAATTAGATGAGTCACAGTACACATTTACTGTACACATCACAAAACTTCTCGAATAATCCGTTAAAAAAAAACTATATTGATAAAAAGCAGTGTGGCCTTGACAAGGCTCGGTCGTTGCCTTCTGTTTTACGTAATTTTTTAATGATGTTTTATTATCTGAATTCCGATAAACAGCCTTCTAGATAGGCATCAGAAGATAAAAACCATGAATAAAGAGGACACAAAATATTGAATTTTCATCATTTGATTTTCGACAGTCAAACGAAATGTTGCTTATATATTTGACGGTTGTGTTCTGTGTCCAATACCAAGCCGGTTTGGTGGACACTGCCAGAATACTAGGAGTATTTCCTGTACCGTCAATAAGTCACCAAATTGTTTTCAGAGCTTTGATGCTAGAACTATCTAAAAATGGACACGAGCTCGTAATTATTACACCAAATCCTGCGCTGCCTAAAGATAGACCCAAAGACAATATTACTGAAATTGACACAAGTGCTGTATATCAAGTAATGGGTCGGTTATATGACGAAGCTCAAGGAAAGAACATGTTAAAAAGAGGTATTGTGATTGATATCGAATCGCTGTTAACTGGTCACTCAGACAGAGGTATGACAGAACTCATATCATACCAATTGGATTTACCAGAAGTAAAAGCACTTCTAGAAGACGAAACACAAAAGTTTGATCTTATATTCGTAGAGGCAATAGCAAATTACCACTTAATAGTGACCAATAGATTTAAAGCTCCAGTAATATGGTTTTCTTCCTTTTTCGGCTTCCCGGAGCACTACAATTCTTTGGGGGCTGTCGCATGGCATCCAACATTTTATCCACACTTTTATAGACAAAAGTATGCAAACCTCACGCTTTGGGAACGGATACGAGAAATTTATTTGGAGTGGAGAATATTTCAAATGATCAAAACAAGTGAAGAGTATGACGACAGTAAATTGCGGAAACGTTTTGGACCAAAGACACCAGCTATAGCAGAATTAAAGAAAAACATTGACGTCATGTTCGTGAATTCTCACCCTATTTTCGCCAGTAATAGACCAGTACCTCCTAGCGTTATATATTTGGGTGCCCTTCATTTACAAAAAGTCAAAGACTTACCAGAGGTGAAAATACTTGTTACTATTTACAAAATATTTTTCTAACCCTAAATAATATTGTTTGTTTACAGGTTTATAATTAATTATGTTTGTTTACAGGCACTGCAAAACTATCTAGATGATTCAACACGGGGTGTGATATACGTCAGTTTCGGCAGCAATGTCCGACCATCCATGATGGATTCCGAGCTTCTTGAAGTTTTTTTGGAAACATTTAAGTTATTACCATACGATGTGCTCTGGAAATTTGACTACGAGAATCTCGAAAATGTTCCCAAAAATGTCAAGATCCATAAGTGGTTTCCTCAGAGAGACTTATTGCGTACGTACATACATATAGTAATATTTAGCAACTTTAATACTTACAATTTATACAACAAAATCATTTATTTTTTCTCATCTTCTAGATACTGTTCTAGTACTGCTTTATATTTACTGCTAGTATTTACGTTTTAAATAATTCCATTTAGTTTTCAATCTTCTTATAGCAAAAGACATTTCTCTGTCAGTTTCATTTAATGAAATAAACTCACTTCAAGGCTACGCATAGCATTATGTATGCATAGATATAAAAATACGAATAGCCGTTTATCTCTTTATTTAAACAACACTTGTTTCTGAATTCATATTCGATGTATAATGTTAGGGTAAACCGAAAAAATACGATGAGTAATCAGAAAAGAAAATAAGATAATAAATTTTTTTTAGAGCATCCAAAGATAAAACTGTTTATAACACAAGGAGGATTACAGTCTATCGATGAAGCAATAGATGCAAGTGTGCCTCTTGTTGGTTTACCTATGTTGGCCGACCAATGGTACAATATCAACAAGTGTGTGGACCTTGGCATTGCGGAGCAGGTTGACGTACTTACTATGACTACAAATGATTTAGTAAGGGCAGTCACTAAAGTGGTCACTAATATTAGGTAAGTTATTCTAAAGCAAGATTTATTGTTTAATAATGATGACTAGATTTTATCAGATAATTAAGAAATATTCTTACAAATAGCATCTTTATGTAAAGCTAACTTACTTGCGTATTTTGGGGAGGATCAACTCGTTCAGGCGCGTCGGTGTCAGATTGCCGTCTGGTGGAAGGTCGCTTCACTTTTTGAAAAAGGTCCCCCGTTTGGTTAGAAACTACTGAGGTATCCCCAATATACACACGTGAATAGGATTATTTATTCACTGTAAATATACAAAAAAAATTAAGACCTTTTGTGAGTTGTTTCTAAATAAAAAAAATTCTTTCCAACCCAGAAAGTTGACGATTTAGAATGTTTAGTATTTTATTTACCATTTATAATACTTATAAGGTGTCTATATAAATGTAATGGTATTTTGCCCCCCCAGTTACAAAGAAAACGTAAGGAAACTGCATAATATCATCAATGATCAGCCCCAAACACCACTGGAGCGTGCCGTATGGTGGACAGAACATGTGTTACGTCACGGCTCCGCGTCACATCTTCGCGCACCTTCTGCTAACACAACGTTTATAGAATATTTTATACCAGATGTCATTCTTTTAATAATTGTAGTAACTAGTATAGTCTTAGTAATAATAATTATCGCTGTTATGAAAATGTTCAGAAGAAAATCGAATATTAAACTTAAATTAAATTAATTATAGGTATAGCTTGTACATGTAAATAGTAATATATTTATTAAAAATTAAATTATAAATCAAATCCAATGTCATTTCTTTTAATTCAAATTAGCCTGCGCTAATTGGCTGAAATAATAATATTAAATAATAAAAATTTATTTTCAGACTTAGTCCATTTAATCTGTTAGTAACAATATTCTTAGCCTAGTGTTAGTAACATCCGTCAGGCGCTTGGTCTCACGTGTAGGCCTATCCAGTGTGCCATCAGTGCCGAGTCCATTCGACCGGCGCTCGCGGTTAGGATGGCGCTGGGGCTGCCGCGCGCCCGTGCCATCATTGATGCACAGCGCTTTCGCATTATCGCGTGGAAGCCGTCCACGTGCGCCTCTGCAAACATGCTACTCGCGCTACAGAACCGCGGCAGCCCCATCAACACCCTGAATGCATTATTGTACTGTACACGTAGGGCGTCGTAGGTCCTCTGCGTGTAATTGACCCACAAGCTGCACGTGTAAAAAGTCTGGCAGAATGCCCTAAATAGTGTCACCTTCACTTTTTCAGTGCAGCGTGCAAATCTGCGAGCCAACATATTACAGCTAACAGACAACGCCCTACGTTCCCTTTCCATATCCATATTACCTTTAAGATCCTCGGTGACCCAGTTTTACAAGTTTTACAAACTTACATGTTTTTAAACACTTTTATTTAAAAAAGGAAACAATGGTTTTCATTATAATAAATTAAATAGTTTTACAGTGTTTATATTTTGATTTAACACTCATTCAGGCAGGCAATTTGGCAATGAACTTTTGCTATTTTGTAAGGAACAACAGTGGTTGTGTGCAGACATAGAAAAACTGGGTACTGACTCGGGTTGTTATATTTATGTTGCCTGCTGTGAGATGGACAAGTTGCGCTCGTAGCTGCGTAGGTACGTAACCGCGTTTGCGTGGGTCCATTAGACCCACGACTATAATACGTTATTTTTTGTCTCATTTAATTTACCTCATTTTATGTTTTATTTCAGTTTGTAATCATGGAAGATCGGGAACCAAGATCATATGATAGAGCCTGTTAATAGAGGAAATATGTGCCTTGCATTTGAATGACATGTATAAAGACGGTGTGCAATTCTTGTGTAAGGTAGAATAAATTGAACAAGTGTCAGATTTTTTATAGAAGAATATCATGAGCTTTGTTTTTTTTTGTTGTTTTAATAATAGTTCTATTTGTAACAAGAAATGTTTATTTTTTTAATGTTTATTTATCTTTCGTTCAAGACTGGTTTTTGTAAATGTAATTATATAATACATTAATTACTATGGTCGTTTTAAAAAATACGCTTTAATAATGTTTAGGTGATTACATGAATAAAATAATACCAAATAACATGGGTACCGTTCATTTTTATTAATATATAAAAATTGGTGCGTCTCCAGGACCAACGGTAAGATAAGGAACTTTTTTTTACCACTATAGTTAAGGGTTAACTAACTTTTGTATTTAGAGGAGAACCGACTAGTCCAGACGCGTCGAGGTCGGACAGCTACATGGAAGGCCACTTTACCTCTTCAAAAAGGTCCCTAAATGATTTTGTATTTTTTTTTATGTTAGACTTTCACTTAGACCAGGTGACCCGTCTTCTCGTCTGGGGCAGCAGTCCCATACGCTACCACTGCACGGAGGCATTCAAAAAATATTCAAATGTTTTTATAAAATTAAAAATGAAAACAAAATTTACGTGACAAAGTTTTTTTATATGTTAGAGGGGGCAGACGCGCAGACGGGTCACCTGATGGAAAGTGACTATTGTCGCCCATGAACGTCTGCAACTCGGGAGTCACAAACGCGTTGCCGGCCTTTTAGTAAGGAGTACGCTCTTTTCTTGAAGGTTTGAAGGTCGTATCGGTCCGGAAATACCGCAGACGATAATCCGTTCTACAGATTGGTTGTGCGGGGCAAAAAGTGTCTCAAAAAGCGCACAGTAGTGGAGCACCAACTATCCAGGTGATGGGGATGAAGAGTTTGTCGTGTGGAATGATGGCGGATAATATTATAAACTAGCTTTTACCCGCGGATCCTCCCACGTGTTTCACGGTAAAAAGAAGGCAAATCAAATTTTATTAAAGTCAGTCAAAAAAGGCATGTCAAATTTTATTAAAGTCAGTTCAGCTTTTTAGCAGTGAAAGCGTAACATACAGATATAGTTAGGTTCACATTTTTCACATTTAGTTCACATTTTAATAATTCATCATTTTTCTTTGCAGGAATATCAAAGCAGATTTGAAGAAAAACTTTGACGTTATGTTTATGAATTCTCATACATTGTTTGCTATTAATAGACCAGTACATCCTAGCGTCATATATTTGGGCGCTCTTCATTTACAAAAAGTATTAAAAAGAGGTAAAAATACTTGCTACTATTAACAAAATATTCCACTAACTCTAAATAATATAGTATTATGTTTGTTTACAGGTTCATAATAAATTATCGACCCGCTCCAGATTCCCACGGTTTCAATTTTTATATCACACTAGCTGACCCGCGCAACTTCGTCTGCGTCTCTCAATAATAATAAATTTTCTCCGTTTTTGAAACATTCTTCATTGGTGCTCCGCTCCTATTGGCCTTAGCGTGATGATATATAGCCTATAGCCTGCCTCGATAAATGGGCCATCTAACACTGAAAGAATTTTTCAAACTACTACTACTAGACTACCGATATTTATACCGATGCTAATGGCCACTCGATGGCATCTCAATAGCGTGTCAGTGGTATGACAGTGTCTTGACGTGAACATAAAATAGCAGAATTGAGGCCCTGGTAGTTGAGCCGAAAGGCAAAACACTGCTTTGGCCTGGATTTCTCCTTACACTGGCGGCTGAAGGCTAGCCACCTTTGGTCAATCAAGTGTAGTATCCCGTCAGAGGGTTGCTGGGCGAGAGCTCTTCTTTGGTGGGGATGGACGACGGGTGGGACGACCAAGTTTTCCTACCTAGTTCGGCCTGCCTTCTGCCAGGGGCTGGGCTTTATATTTCCTTGTTACTTCTGGCGTTGTGTGCCTTTTGCCGCGTTGTCCCCACTTGAGGGCTCCAAGGAGGGTGGAAGGACAAGGAGATGAATAGTTTTAAAAAACCTATGGCGACCAAACCAAAAACTAAACAACCAAACAAGCCGACACCGAGGGTTAATAACTCAACGTCAAGGCTAAAACACCAACCGGCTGCCTCCAGGGTGAACAACCCAAGTGTGAAGCCGGCTAGCACACCTATGGCTGCTCAGGTGAACAACCAGCAGCGCCATCTACGACTCTGGCGACACCTCTGGTACATAACCAGAGTACGGCGCCAGTGTCGACCATCGACCTCTCCTCTTTGATTGCAGCAATGCCCGTAAATGCGGGCCCCGGCCTGGAAGAAACCGGCTGGAGCCTGGTAAAGACGAAGAAGATGGTGCCAAAAAACAAAACCCGTCTAGGAAGACCCGCAATGCCAACAGGATGAAAGTCCGAGTGGAAAGGCAAGCACGGTGTCTGACTTCTGGTGAAGTAAGCGGCTTGAAGTCGCTGAAGGGCCCGAAGGGGCCCACGATGCTCCCGCCAGTGACGTGCTGCCCCGAGGCGAAGACGAAAGTCTAGCCATGGGGAAGTGTACTCCTGTGGGGGCGCCACCAGCTAAGACGCCTGAAGCGGCCAAAGTACCCTCAAGGCAGGGTCGCCCTGGACAGGGTAAACGAGCGAGACGAGTGAAACATTGAGGGAAACTATCATGTGAAGCTAGACCCGCTAAGCGAACTCACCCGGACGAGTCCCGCACTCCCCAGGGCAGTGGCAAGCGGATCAAACCGAATTACACCAGAAAATTAAATACTAGTCTTACAACACGCATCTATCAGTAAGACTAGCGTTTATATTCATAAACGATGAGCAATTTAATCCATAACTTTTGTCGTGGGTCCACTAGACCCATGTTGAACATTCAAAAATTCGTGAACTTCGCCACAATCGACGTAAAAAACACATTTAATACCTTTTTGTCATACGCCGAAGCATCTGCTGTGAGATGAACAAGTTGCGCTCACTGCTGCACAGGTACGTAATCGCGTTTGCGTTTGCGTTTCAATGGACTTACGACTATAAACACGTTATTTTTTTCTACAGTTTTTATTTTATTTCAGTTTGTAATCATGGCAAGTCTTAGTAATGAGCCTGGGAACCAATACCATGTGATAGACCCTGTCAAGAGAGGAAATCAGCTTTTGACAGTCCACTGCTTCACATAAGCCTCTCCTTAGAAAGGAGGTTTTGGCCTACTATACCACGCTGGCCAGACAGGTTGGTATACTAGGCATGCAATTTTGGATTTGGAACTGTTCTATATTCGAATGTGTTTAAATTTTGAATCTCAAAACAGTTGAAAGTATTAGGATTAATGCTATTGTTTAGTCACAGCGACAATTGGAATCTGTTAGGTTACGTACGAAAATGAATCTTGTAAGGAAAATGTTCGTGCGATAATTTTCTACAACTTTAGAAGAGGCCTGACACGGCTTCAGTGTTTTGAAGAGCTACCATCAACCACCAAGAGTGTTCAGTGATGAAACCCTATGTCTGCGGACTGTCGAACGCTGGTATTTAGAATTCCAACGTGGACATACTAGTGTTAGTGACAAATCTCGCGAAGGACGCCCAAAATCCGCCTTCACTGAAGATAACATCATTGCTGTGAGACAACTAATTCTCGAAGATCATCATGTGACGTATCGAGAGATAAAGGCTCTATTAGGCATCTCAGGGACAACCATTCAGATCTTGCATGAAGCGCTTGGTGTGAGAAAGCTAGTTTGCCGTTGGATAACGCATCTGCTTTCCGACGATCACAAGGCGGCCCGCGTCAGATGGTGTATGAAAACTCTGCAAAGGTTCAACCGAGGAGAGTCAAATCACGTCTACGACATCATCAGTGGTGACGAATCTTGGATCTATGCCTATGATCCTAATTCCAAACAACAATCTACAATCTGGGTCTTTCAAGACAAGCCAAAGCCAACTAAAGTTGTTCGTTCTCGAAGCATTTCAAAGAAGATGATGGCCACGTTCGTTGGAAAAACCGGCCATGTTGCGACTATTGCACTTGAAGATCGTAGAACGGTTAACGCAGAGTGGTATACCACAGTTTGTTTACGACAAGACATCGCCGAACTTCGAAAATCTAACTCAAAGCGACGCATCATCCTGCACCACGACAACGCAAGCTCACACAGCGCTCGTCAAACGATTGAGTATTTGAAGCAGGAAAAAGTAGAAATTCTTGACCATCCTCCATACAGTTCTGACCTAAGCCCTAACGATTTCTTTACATTTCAAGGTTCCAGTCCGGTGAAGAAGCAGTTGACGCTTTCTAGTCAGCCATTTTAAACGCTTCCACTTAGAGTGGAATAAATGTAATAATAACTGGTTTGAGCGAATGGAATAGTGTATTAAGCTACGTGGTGAATACTTTGAAAAACAATAAAAAGTACTATAAGATTCTAGTTGTGTTTTTTTCTTCAAACGACAAAACTTAAAAGGCATGCCTCGTAGTAGTAGGAGAGTAGAAAGCGAAATGGAAGGTCCCTAAATAATATAATATTTATTTATAGGTTTATTAAAAACTAGCTTATGCCTGCGGATACCCCTACGTGTATAGCCTATGTCCTTCCTTAAGAATCAAAGTGTCTTCATGCCAACCTTCATTAAAATCGGTTTGGCGGTTTAGCCGTGGAAGCGTAACAGATAGACAGAGTTACGTTCACCGTTTTAATAATTTATCATTCTCTTTACAGGAATTTCAAAGCTATTTGGATAATTCCAGCCGGGGCGTGCTATATGTAAGTTTTAGCAGCAATGTAGACCATCAATAAAGGATTCAGATCTTCTTGAAGTTCTTTGGAAATGGTGAGTTATTAAAAAGTAATTATTTGAAATTTGATTAAAACAGTAAAAACTAGATAGCCAGACTATAAAATGTAGTAACATTCGTACTTCACATGTGGAAAGTTACGTCTAAATATAATAACTGTTTTTTTTGTAAAGATT